TTTTTTTTCAGACAAAGTCTTACTCTGTCACCAGGCTGGAATGCAGTGGCGCCATCTCGGCTCACTGTAACCTCCAACTCCCTGGTTCAAGCAATTCTCCTGCCTCAACCTCCTGAGTTACTGGGATTACAGGCACACGCCACCACATCCAGCTAATTTGTATATTTTTAGTGAGATGGGGTTTCACCATGTTGGCCAGGATGGTCTCTATCTCCTGACTTCATGATCTGCCCGCCTTGGCCTCCCAAAGTGCTGGGATTACAGGCTAAGCCACTGTGCCCAGCCAAAGCTATTCAGTTCTTAACAATGAAGGTTTTTGAATCATTTTCTTTTAAATCCAGGTCTTAAAATGGTAAATAATGCAAACAGGCTTTGGCTATCAAATAGAGTCTCTGATTTTTTTTTTTTTTTGAGACAGAGTCTCACTCTGTTGCCAGGCGCCAGGCTGGAGCACAGTGGCACAATCTCGGCTCACTGCAACCTCTGCCTCCCCGGTTCAAGCAATTCTCCTGCCTCAGCCTCCCGAGTAGCTGGGACTACAGGCGCACGCTACCACACCCAGCTAATTTTTGTACTTTTAGTGGAGACAGGGTTTCACCATGTTGGCCAGGATGGTCTCCATCTCTTGACCTTGTGATCCACCCACCTCAGCCTCCCAAAGTGCTGGGATTACAGGCTTGAGCCACTGTGCCCGGCCTAAAGTCTGTGATTATTAAAATGACTAATAATCATGTGACAGTGACAAACAAGGACGCAACTTCCCCACCAAAAATGTTCTTTCATTATGGAAGACACCTACATATGTTTGCAAACTTTATCTAATTTTCATCTACTTAGGTTAAAATAGTTTAATGCAGCAACTTCTCAGATTTATATTATTTTGACCCAATACTAAAAATGTAGGAACTAGAAATACAGAGCAGTTTCTATCCTTAAAAAAAAAAAAAGAAAAGAAAAAACCAGCAGCACCATCTGGACAATACTGAAATAATATGGAATTTTTAAAAAGGGGCTTTCATATCCAAAAATATATAAATTGGAAAAAATCCTCATGTAAAGAGCAAAACATTTAAAAATAAAGTTGAAATTATTTTTTCCTGGAACAATAAACGTATGTAATAACTCTATTACATGTATATTATTACATGTTATTTAAGTCAAAATGAAAATTAATTTACTATAATGCAGTAGCACATAACTGTCATGTAAGAGTGGTTGCACTAAATAGGACTATATACAAATATATCTATTTCCAAATAGTTTTAAAAACAAAATTGAAGAACTTTCTTTTTTTAAGATAGAAACAGGGTTTCACCATGTTGGTCAGGAGGCTGGTCTCAAACTCCTGACCTCGTGATCCACCCACCTCAACCTCCCGAAGTGCTGGGATTACAGGCATGAGCCACCGTGCCCAGCCAAATGTTTTTCTATTTAATAATTAGGAAGTGTTCAATAGTAACTTAAGATATTGTTCACATATGAACCACAATAAGATTAAAATTACCATACCATTTGCTGAATCCTGTGAAAGCTCTTTCCATGAAAACTAAAGGCTTGTTCAAATAGGACTTTATCTTCCACTGTCCACTCATCCGGAAAGGGAGTGAAATTAGGGAGATCAGCAAGGGACTTCTCAATGTTATGTTTATGCCAGAACAACATGCCAAGTGCCTTTGAAGAGAAATCATTCCCCTTTGGTTTTAATGGATTTATGTTCCATCACACTTAAGAAAGTTAAACACAAATCAGATTAAAATCTTAAGCCTATGACTTCAACTAAAGATAGACTCACAGTTTGGGACTTTAAATCAGGGGCGCCCAGGTAGCAGACCTCATTTATTTATTTCTTTTAAATCAGGGCCTCAGAACAGTGAATGTTCTTACATACCATATTTGCTGCAGAATCTAGGAAAAACAGTGAGCTGAGGACAGTGACTACAAAGCAGACTTGTAGGTTCATACCAAGAGTTTAACCCACATTTTAAAATTTGTCAATATGTAGGAAAAAAATATGCTAACAGGAAAATGTCCAGTAAATCCATGCTTGAATGAAATGATCAGTTATGCCACAAAGCTAGAAATGCTCAGTTGGGGCTTAGAAGAGAGATATTTATGTTTTAATCTTTTACAAGTATATCACAAGTTAACCAGGTCCAAGAAGTAAAAGCACCTCCAATGCAACTTTAACAATTTTTTTTTACCACATTTAAGTTATTATCAGAACATATAAACAGATTTATTAGGAGGCATATAAATAACTGCAATGACTCGATTACCAAGTCATAACAAAGACTGAGATGGACAATTTCCAAAATTTCCATAACTTTCCCTTCTATTTTAAGTAGTAGGCCTTTCTCTTTATTATAGGGTATTAAGCATCATTTAGGGGAGAAACTTGTATTTTCTAAGAAGAGATATAGCAACTTTTAAAATAGTGAGTTTGATAATTTCTACACTTTGATAACATCCTTTAAAATACACAGAAAAATGAATATATGTAGTCATATTTTAAAGGATTAACTTTCTCAAATATTAAACAGAAAGGCAAGGCTTAAAAACAAAATATGAGAAAGGCTTCAAAACCCACAAAAAAGTTAATTACATTTAGATAAGATACAGATAAAATAAACATCTCAATTTCACAAAAATATTCCTTTACCATGTAACTGAACCATAAAGTTAGCTCTTGATAACCCAGGTTACAGATAATTTACCTTTCTTACTTATCTTAAAACAACTCTACCTATTTTACTATTAATTCTGATAGGTTGAAATACTTACTTGAAATCAGATGTAAGATCTCTTTCATTTCATTATTCCATATTTTTCATTCCCTCATTACTAGGGATAATGAACCATGTATTTGTCTCTCTATATATAGTATATTATACAATATATAATGCAGTATATTACATAATATACATTATATAAACACATTATAGTATATTTGATATAACTCATCTCCATGACAATATGTTACATTTACTAAATTCAATGACATTACTATATTTTGTATGCAGAAAAAGATTAATCTGTGGGTAGCCAATAGATCTAATTATAGTGTAAAATATTAAGATAATTTCTTGATTTTGTTACAATTTTTATTTGAAGAGACTTAACTCTCTACATAGAGACAGATATATCATATATAGATACATCCTTTTAAAGTTATCTAACAAAAAGAGCCTTTCGTGATTTCATTCAAAATTTAAGTCTTAAATATTCCATTAAATGTAAAGTTTAACTTTTAGATCCTGTAGAACAAAAAGTCAAGAGAATTATCTGTATCATTAAAATTTTTTATAAATAAAAGATTTGTTTTAAAGTTATGCCTATGTACATTTACTCCAAAATACACCAAAACCTTAACTTTTCATTTTGGTAAGCATTTGCCAGAGGAATACTAAAAGCTTCCAGAAACTTTCAGAACTCAAAGTAGAATAAGAAACAGATGTATTCAGAGAAATATTTAAGCCCTTGAGATAAATAATTTTTATAAAAGCAAACTCTTGCCGGGTGCGGTGGCTCACGCCTGTAATCCCAGCACTTTGGGAGGCCGAGGCGGGTGGATCACGAAGTCAAGAGATCGAGACCATCCTAGGGTCAACATGGTGAAACCTCGTCTCTACTAAAAATACAAAAAATTAGCTGGGCATGGTGGCGCGTGCCTGTAGTCCCGGCTACTCGGGAGGCTGAGGCAGGAGAATTGCCTGAACCCAGGAGGCAGAGGTTGCGGTGAGCCGAGATCACGCCATTGCACTCCAGCCTGGGTAACAAGAGTGAAACTCCGTCTCAAAAAAAAAAAAAAATAGCTGGTCAAGTTTACACACTCTCTTAGGACAGAAACGATCATGAGATACTCTGGATTTGGTAAATATTGAGACAAGACTTCCCACTGAAGTGTTTCTCTACATACCTGCTCCACATTGTAGCCATGCTTCTCCTTTGCAATTGCAATGTATTCATCCACTGTAATGAAATAATGTTATATAATTAATTATTCTCATTTACTTCCTTTACCTCGGTCTACTTTTGTTCTTAACAAGCAAAATAAAATAACTTATATTGCAGGGTAAAAAAATAGCCAAAGGTACCTCCCATGAAACGTTACAAAAAAAGACATAATAGCAAGATTAGATGCTCACCTGGTTTAAAATTTTACTTAGTATAACTTATCTCTATGACTGAACATTATACTTACTAAATTCAGACATTACTATATTTTTGCATGGAGAAAAAGACCAATCTGTGGGTAGCCAATAGATCTAATTATTGTATAAAATATTAAGGTAACTTTTCTGTTCCAGTCTTTATTTGAAGAGACTTAGCTGTTTTAAGACCCTTTCACATATTCACAGTTGTTCCAAAGCCTTTCCCATTCCATTTTTTAAAGATGTATAAACGACGGTTTATCTGGCCATGTGTGGTGGCTCACGCCTGTAATCCCAGAACTTTGGGAGGCCAAGGTGGGCAAATCATGAGGTCAGGAGTTCAAGACCAGCCTGGCCAACATGGCGAAACCCTGTCTCTACTAAAAAATACAAAAATTAGCTGGGCACGGTGGCAGGTGTCTATAATCCTAGCTACTCAGGACACCGAAGCAGGATAATCCCTTGAGCCTAAGAGGCAGAGGATGCAGTGAGCCGAGTTTGCGCCACTGCACTCCAGCCTGGGAGACAGCGCAAGACTCTGTCTCAAAAAAAAAAAAAAAAAAAAAAATAGTTCATCCATAGTTTCGCCAGCTATACATAATAATGACACATTTAAGTATGCTTCAGTACTCCTAAATTTTCTTCAGTTCTTTCTGCTTGTTATACAAAGCGTGTTTTCATTTATCTTCCACATGTATTTAAGCCACAGAGTTATTTAGATAAGCAGTTTCAATGATGATAAACTGGCTATAATTTCAATGCCTCACCGCTGAGAAGTCTGCCACATTCACCAGAACTCAGTTTTATGCGAACTCCATATAATCACTCTTCCTTGATTCTAATTAATTTTTATATGTGTGCGTGTATAAATTAATTTTTTGTAAATATTTTTGAGAAGGAGTGGTTAAGAATCCTGATCCTGGAACAGCTAGACTCCCTGGGTTTAATTATCAGCTTATTGCTAGCTTTTTGACTTTGACCAAGTAACTTTTGACCTTTTGGACCTCAGTTTCCTCACTCTAAATTGCTGTTAAAAACAGTATCTCCCTCCAACGATTAAATAAGTTAATAAAAAAGAACAGCACTTGGTACATTTAAAGAATTGTGTAAGTATTTGCTGCAATTATTGGTCAGTACAGTCTAATACATGAATATGCTATTATAATAATAGCCAATTGAATTAGCAATTAGAATAAAATTTTTAAATGTATGCTATCAAAGCTCCCCCCAAAGGGTAAGCTTTTTGTGTAGAAAATCCAAATCTTATGTTTTGTTTAGATCCCAAAGCACTTAAATACATGACAGGTCTAAATATATGCTGAACAATATCAACAGTATCAACTGACCTGTGGTTCCCAACCCTGGCTATTCATTACAATCAGTGTGAGAGCTTTTAAAAAGTTAGACTCCACCCTTGAAGTCTATGACTTAATTGGTCTGAGAAAGACACTAGACGTAAGTACTTACAAAATAAAAATTAAAAACTCCCCAAGTGACTCCAAAGCACAGCAAGGGTTGAAAACTATCACCCTAGACCTTCATATAGACATTCCACATGAACACTACACTACCAGGACACGCTGGCTAAATTTTGTTTTCCACTTTGCTAAGAAATGAACCATTGCACTAAACAGAATTAAATCAGCAAAACTCAATAATACCCTGATACTCAGTTTGTAAATGAAAACGTTTGTTTGTAATGAGGATTGAACCTGGAAAACCAATAGTCTCTTTCAGGTCCTCATTAAACAGTCCCAGGCCATATGAGTAATTTCATGTTTTCTGTTAGGAATGCTTCAGGGGCACACAATTTCTAGACTACCAGCTAGACCTTTTACTGATGTTCTATAGCTCTTAAATAGAAAGATTTATTAAATATGCAGAAACATACTCAGTTTTCAATTTTTAGCTCTCTTACTGCATCAATAAGCATGATTTGACTTAATACACACGACAGGATATCATTAATTTTCATGGGACGAAATAAATCACAGACATCTTTAAGATGTTAATAAATATTCTAGAAAGACAAGCTTATCTTATAGCTGCTAGAATTAACTGTTCAGTGTCATCATTGTTGTTGTGGTTGTTATTTAATAAATTCAATGATAACTGAATGGAGGGGCGGGGATCTTAGTGTTGTTACCTGCACGTATCCTATATCTGATGTGCCGCAAAGGATCAGGTCCGCTACATCACATTGAAGTCTAAAGCCACACCATGATTCAAGAAGTGCATGGTCAATGATCCAGAAGGTCTCCGTCCAGAAATGGAGAGCACAAAGATGACCTGATGGCTGCTGAAGTCAGTTCTTTCCCCTTTCCTCTTTAAAATGGTAATGATAGTGGGCTCTTTGAAGTTTGAAGGCATGTCTTTACAGCTCCATATACTGAGGAAAAGCCTGTGCAGATGTCTACATAGTAACTCCCTCCCCTGCTTGAGGATTTAAGCAGCAATGCCATCAGATCCTAGGTCTTTTCATTCTTCATGGGCCTGACACAAATTGGAATGATCAACCCACTATCTTTCAAAAGGAAAAACATTCTAATATAACAACCTCCATTTAAAAAATAAATAAATAAATAAATAAAACAAAGACAAAACTGTTTTCTTATGAGAATCCAAAAAGCCCAAAAGCAAATATAAGTCACATGTTGAATTGACTGATAAACCCCTGCTGACAGTAACATTCAATTTCAGAAAACTTACATTTGGCATCTGGGATACTGTGATATGGAGACCATACAAGCATCCCTCCATTGTCTTTATCTGTGTACTTTGTAGCACCTGGGGAAAAAAATTAATTACTTTGAATATGATGGATTTTATTTATATTGAAAGTAAGTATAAACTAAGCTTTATTTCTATTTTAGTACAGTACATGCAAAGGAGGACAAAGAAAGAAAATATAGGAAAACAAAGAGAAGGAAAACAGATTTACATTACATATAGTAAGTGTCTTGTTTACAAAAATTAAGGAAATTTTGCAAATGCCGGTTTACCCCTTTTAAACTAAAAAAGATTTTCTTCAGTACATTACATAGCTCTACTTGACCGAGGGTAATAAATCTGATTTAACCTTCCATACATTACTTAGGGATCATTATTAAAAATTCAAGACTTTTAAGCCAGAGAGAATGCCTCGGGTTCTGTTTTGCCCCATATCTAAATGGGCCAAAATAGCTGTAATTTTCAAACACTTATGTCTGCTTTTTTTTTTTTTGGAGATGGAGTCTCACTCTTGTCGCTCAGGCTAGAATGAAGTGGCGCAATCTCAGCTCACCACAACTTCCACCTCCCGCGTTCAAGCGATTCTCCTTCCTCAGCCTCCAGAGTATCTGGGACTACAGATGCCTGCCACCACATTCGGCTAATTTTTGTATTCTTCGTAGAGACGGGGTTTCACCATATTGGCAAGGCTGATCTTGAACTCCTGACCTTGTGATCTGCCCACCTTGGCTTCCCAAAGTGCTGGGATTACAGGCATGACCCACCTCACCCAGCCTTCTGCCTGCTTTTTACTTAATTGTATTTGTTGCTAAGAGTCTGCCAGCTATTCACTTTTAAACTTAAGTTCCTTTATTACATTTTATATTTATAAACTATATACTCTATATTAGAAGTCAAGATAAAAACATAAAAAAGCCTAGGTGCAGTGGCTCAAGCCTGTAATCCTAGCACTTTGGAAGGCCGAGGCAGGCAGATCACATGAGGTCAGGAGTTCAAGACCAGCCTAGCCAACATGGTGAAACCTTGTCTCTATTAAAAATACAAAAATTAGCCAGGCCTGGCGGCACATCCCAGCTACTCGGGGGGGCTGAGGCAGGAGAATCACGTGAATCCAAGAGGTGGAGTTTGCAGTGAGCTAAGATCATGCAGCTGCACTTCAGCCTGGGTGACAGTCAGACTCCATCTAAAAACAGAAAGTCAAGATAAAAAAGTTAATGCAATTTCTTGTTAATACAATCCGAAAGCTTACCTCTAATCTAGAAACATAATATTTTCTAATTTCTTTCTTTCTTTTTAAAAATGTGAAGTCTTACTATGTTGCCCAGGCTGGTTTCAAACTCCTGGCCTCAAGCGATCCTCCTGTCTCAGCCTCCCAAGTAGTTGAGATCAGAGCTGCATGCCACCACACCCAGCCACTAATTTATTTCTAATATTTTATAATCTAGAAAGTCAGAAAAATCAAGTCCTATTAAAACTTCATATAAAGCCGGGCACAGTGGCTCAAGCCTGTAATCCCAGCACTTTGGGAGGCCGAGGCGGGTGGCTCACGAGGTCAAGAGATCGAGACCATCCTGGTCAACATGGTGAAACCCCGTCTCTACTAAAAATACAAAAAATTAGCTGGGCATGGTGGCGCGTGCCTGTAATCCCAGCTACTCAGGAGGCTGAGGCAGGAGAATTGCCTGAACCCAGGAGGCGGAGGTTGCGGTGAGCCGAGATCGCGCCATTGCACTCCAGCCTGGGTAACAAGAGTGAAACTCCGTCTCAAAAAAAAAAAAAAAAAAAAAAACCTTCATATAAATTGGCCGGGTGTGGTGGCTCACACCTGTAATCCAAGCACTTCGGAGGCCAAGGCGGGCGGGTCACCTGAGGTTGGGAGTTCAAGACCAGCCTGACCAACATGGTGAAACCCCGTCTTTAAAAAAAACAAACAAACAAAACTTCATATAAATTAAGAATCAACAGCATGAATGAAGGCCTGAGACAGCCATGTCAGAGCCAAGTTACATGCCTGTAGATTCTTTTATTTTAATAATTCAGTGACATTTTTCTGGTCTATCTAATTCTTAGTTGTATCTAATTCATTAAAACTATCAACAAATGAAGCATTGCTGCCACATGTTTTAAGACGACTTTTCTTGGAATACATCATAAATGACTTCTATGTAGTAGTAATACCTACCACTAAGAGCCAAAATTCCAAAATTACTCACACAAAATATTAAAATAATTCTGAGGTTAAACTGTAATCTTTTATAAAGTTATAAGATACTTGGAATAAAAGAACACTCATTTCTAGGGGTAAGAGAACTACTATTATAACCTCCATCTAGAGAAGTTATCTACCAGGCAATAATTTAGTATCATTCAATATTTTTATTTTTAGAGAAGCATCATACATTACTACTATCAATAAATTTTAAAGAATCATACATTGCTAGTAAAACAGAAAACTAAATTTATTTTTAAAATCTATGTATGTTACAAGGAAATTTAAGAGAAATGAAAGAAGAAACACTACCAAAGTATTAGAAAGCCTTCTGTATCTTGTCATATTTTTTTTTTATAATTTCATTTAAGGTACTGCAAAATCAAGTATTGTGTCATATCTTTAATAAAAGAGGACACAAAAGCATGAGCTGAGAATTTAGGAAAATATACAAGTTAAGGTTCATTATGTAAAATTTATGTTCAATGAAAATAAACTTTGAGATATCATTTTAAAACTTTAATATTAAGATACATATTTAAGTTTTAACCCTATAAAATAAAAACATAAACACAAAATAGGCAACCACTCAATGGTAATAAAACAAAAATCCTATTTAAGTTGGTCAGAAGCCTTTACTCAATTCATAAAATTGACTTTGTTATACAAAGTGACTATCCTAAACTTCAATCCTTTAACATGGAACTGATTTATTTTGCATGATGCAATCGCGACAGTAAGATCACTTAAATCCTACTTAACAGAACAGGAAATGCAACAAAGAAAGTTTTCCATTAAGTCTCAAGTCTTAATGGCATATCATGCTAAATATTTAAACATAATTGCCCTGTATCTCATTTTTTGCCTTACAGAAAGTCTGAATTAAAATGACTTCATTAAATGTCCCTTCTTAAATAGATATTAAACTTTTTTTTCTTCCTCCATAAAAAAGTAACAGACACAGGCTGGGTGCAGTGGCTCATATCTATAATCCCAGCACTTTCGGGAGCCAAGGAAGGTGGATGGCTTGAGCCCAGTAGTTCGAGACTAGCCTGGGCAACATAGTAAGACCTTGTCTCTATTAAAAATACAAAAATTAGCTGGATGTGGTGGTGTGCACCTGTAGTCCCAGCTACTCATGAAGGTAATGTGGAAGGATTGCTTGAGCCCAAAAGTTCAAGGCTGCAGCAAGCTGTGACCACACCACTGTACTCCAGCCTAGGTAACAGAGCAAGACCCTGTCTTAATAAATAAATAAGTTTCAGGCCGGGCACGGTGGCTCAAGCCTGTAATCCCAGCACTTTGGGAGGCCGAGGCGGGTGGATCACAAGGTCAAGAAATCGAGACCATCCTGGTCAACACGGTGAAACCCCGTCTCTACTAAAAATACAAAAAATTAGCTGGGCATGGTGGCGCATGCCTGTAATCCCAGCTACTCAGGAGGCTGAGGCAGGAGAATTGCCTGAACCCAGGAAGTGGAGGTCGCGGTGAGCCGAGATCGTGCCATTGCACTCCAGCCTGGGTAACAAGAGCGAAACTCTGTCCCAAAGAAAAAAAAATAAATAAATAAAATAAAAATAAATAAATAAATAAATAAGTTTCAAAAAAAAATTGTTAGCATTGTAGTTGAGGATCTGATCTGACAGAAACTGGCATCCAAGCTGCGGGAACAGCTCTTCTAACACGGGTGATCGGGTAGAGGACAGAGGGGTGGCAGACATACAGTAATCGGTCTGATAACAGAGAATGCCTAATTAGGCATTTCACAATGTTCCTTCCCTAACTCTGAAATGGATTCCACTATTTTCAATTACATATGTGTCAGCTAGGTCCAAGAGATGACTGACACAAGAAATGAGGGATATTTTAGTGCAAATGGTTAACAGTGTGAACTATAGAGCCTAACTCCCAGAGTCTGAATACCAGCCCTGCTACTTGGTAGCTGTGTTACCTTGGGTAAATCTATTTAATCTATCCAAACCTCAGTTTTCCTTATCTGTAAAAATATGGATGATGAGAGTAACTACCTGACAGAGTTGCTCAAAAATTTCATTAATTAAAAAAAAAAAAAATTAATTAATTAAGTACCTGGCATATGGTAAGCATTACATAAGACAATTATTATTACTAATATATGCTTATTGAAGACAGTTCTTTCTTAAGTTCCTTCCTTCTTTATCCTAAAAAGGCTTCTTCTCACCTTATCAACTAAAAAGCAAATGAATAAAATCTCAAGGGGGTATACCTCAAAAATGGCTGATGTCCTCTCTAACCAACCCCTTGAAAATGAAATTGAATAGCTATAATGACCTTTGTTTTTCTGACAATTCAGACTGATTCCTCTCCTATAAAATAGGAGAAAGTAACATGTGCTATTAAAAATAATTTATATACCTCTTAGGATGCTTTATGTCCAATAAAGTTTTACCTTTTTCACTGTAAAAGTCAGAATGAATTATAACGTTAAGACGCTAACCCCATATTGATTTTGTTTTTTTCTGTAACAATATTTAAGATTATACCTCAAAACTATCTGATATTTATTAACAATACTGATACTCAAATCTGACTCACCAAGAAAACCATGCCTTAGAAGTACCTTAGCTTCTGAATAGATTAAAAAACAAACCAAAACCTAGACAGCAAGCTACCATAATTTTATAAGACTAATAGTAGCATGTCAGTTCTGAAAATAAAATTGTTGAAAAATCCATTGTGGCCAGGTGCCATGGCTCATACCTGTAATCCCAGCAGTTTGGGAGGCAGGTGATCACCTGAGGTCAAGAGTTCGAGATCAACCTGACCAACATGGAGAACCCCCATCTCTACTAATAATTAAAAAATTAGC